GAAAGAAGGGAAAGAAAAAATGCTGAGAAATGGAAAAAATGGAAATAAAGTCTTTGTAAATAGGGAAGGGTGGAGGGTGTGAAGGGAGGGCTAGGAATGGGGAAGAAATAAGAACCAAGATGCATTATGTAAAGGTACAATTCCCAATGAGGAATGTAATTGTGTTGTATACCTACAATGTACCAATAAAAGAATTTAACACACAAAAAAAGAAGTCAAAGAATATCAGAATCAATGGAATATACTTTTGAAATGAAACAAAACTTTTGAAAATGCATATGGTGTAAAATACTCTAAACCAATCAAGGATAAAAGGTAGCAAATGGTGGTAGATGATTACAGGGGACTTAGAAGATGACGAAAAACACATGAACTATGTTTATAAAGAATGATTTTATAATAATGATTCGGGAATGATACGACAAGACCTTTTCCTACATATACTAAAACCCCCAGAATGATCTTGTACTTCGGAGAATTTTGGGGCAAGGAAATTAAGATAAATAAGCCCTCTATCGCCATAAAAAAATCAAACAGTGTATGAACTGCTTCAAATCTCTATCAAGGATGAGACAACACTGTACACATACAAAAGGTGAACAAAAGCCAAAGAAGTAAAAAGTACTTTGTTAATTGTTATTGGGAGTAGTTTGTGGTTTTACCATGAAAACCTTCATCAATTCAAGATTTCAAGTTAGCTGTACCATCTGATCAATGCTATAGTGCTATTTCCCTAGAGTGAATACTTAATATCACATACTTCTGTGGTACAAATAACTATATGTAGGGGGTAGGGATTTAGCTCAGTGGTGCTGCCCCCTGCCTCACAAGCACAAGGTCCTGAGTTTGGTCCCCTGTACCCTCCCCCAAAAAACCAAACCAAACCAAACAAAAAAATCCTATATGTAGGGCTGGGGATTTAGCTCAGTGGTTTTGCCGCCTGCTGCACAAGCGTAAGGACCCAAGTTCAATCCCTGGTACCAAAACAAAACAAAACCAAACTCTGTATGTAATACAATTTCAAATAATTTTAAAATAACTTGCTTGGGCACAAAATAGAAAGGCAGAACCTCAGCCATTCCCAATACCCTAAGGAGTTTGAGGCTTTAAGCTTAGAGCACTGGTGGTTGAACTAGAGGTGGCCAGCTCATTCTCTGCCAGCTCTGGTGATCTGATGCCTACTATAGATTGCGTAGTAAAAGCAGGTTATTAATGGAGACCCAGCCTTGTCTCAGATCTTAGGAATAGCAGCCCCTCTGCATCTAATCAACGTTAAAAAGAATTTTCCCTAATAAAGATGCAGAAGGAAACATGCCCAATCCTACTTTTTTTCTACAGCCTGCAAAGTGCTCACTGAGAATTAGGTGTTAGCGTTCATTCAGCTTTATTTAGGAGAAGCTGAAGGTATACTTCACTGGTAAGAGTTAATTCTAGAATTCAGCATGTTCCTTCTATTGTTTTATCATTTATCTGTCAGGAAATGTAACTTTAGTTTTACTTTTGGCTTGCTCCAAGAGGTAAACCAAAAAGTAGAAAGACTATTGACGGTATTTCCTACTCAAATATATAAGGTCTTAAATTCAAGAGTCAGGAACTGTTCACACAAATAAGAGTTTTTAAAGGGAAAATAAATGACTTACTTTCTTCCTTCTTGCTAATAATGGCAGGCAGCGTGTAAATCTAAAAAACAAAGGATGTCTATCAGTTATTTTCAGTTAATGACCTAGCACATAAAACTGGCAAGGTGCTGTTTGTACAGTAAACACAAAGGGACTGCTTTGATTTCAAGTTCTCACAACCACTGTGTCTAAAGTGCCATCTGTCTACCCTGCCTGACAACTTTTTGTGGTGAAGCCCACCTTGCCTCCCACTCCTTCCAATCCCTGGCAGTCCTCCCCTGGGCAATTTTTCCCCTGCCCATTTGATTTATGCATCTTATTCTATTCCCCAACATGAAACATAATATACCTTCTTTAGGAAGTGTTCCACAATGGATTTTACATGATCGTTCCTTCCTCAAATTATCTACTTCATGCTTTGTTTTCAACATGCATAATCCTAACTTGTACATCGCTGAGCTAAAAAATTGTCCTTAAAATTTGCTCTAGGTCAAGACTTCTCAATTATTTGTAGTGAAGAGCCAAGGGTTTGTTTCATTTTTGAAAAATCTGTCATTAATTGGCATTTTGTAAAATATAGTAAGATTGAAATAGAAAATGATAAAAAGATGCAGAGCTCCGATGTTTTATTCCTAAATCTATCAGACTTAACTCCTTCATATGTTCAGAAAATGTTCTAAAGGCTTAATCATAATTGGTGTACATGACTTATTGTGGGCTGATGCTGAAGTATGAGGGAGGGCCTCAAAGTCTGATGGCTATGGGTCGCACTGCTGTCACATGGGTGTTGTGCTTGAGGTTGTTCACAGGTTATTGTGATCTAAGACAGATTCTAAGCAAGAAGCATCACATTCTGTTCACTACGTGTGCTCCGCCCTCTCTGATCTAGTAATAGTGCTAAGAAAATAAAGTGATGAACTATTTCTCCTTGGTATTAGTAAGTAAATTACCATTCCAACATCAAAATAACTATAAGCAAACGAGGGGGGAAAAATGTCACTCCAGAGAATTTTATCAAATTAGGCTGGCTTACAAATGGCCCAGACTGGTCGGTTCATACCTTGAACTGTGTTCATTACTCTTCACAATCTCTAGCACCGGTCTTGCAGAAATTGGACATGTACTAATCATTAACTGAACAAAATTACATAAACAGTGTAATCAGATAATGATTATAAGATTTTAAAAAATAATTTTAGAGATTTAAATTAGTCCTAGAAAACCAAATTAGATGGGCTGGGGATTTAGCTCAGTGGTTCCACCGCCTGCCTCAAAAGCGCAAGGGCCCAAGTTCGATCCCCGATACCAAAAAAAAAAAAGAAAACCAAATCAGAAAATTGAAATCATGTGGCAGGGACGAAGACAACACTAGGAAAACAGTACATATCTCTACTCCTCTGATTCAGTATTTTAGTATTTTCAATTATACTACAGACACAAGACAGAAATTTCAGATGTACTTTGGAATTTTTAGAATAATAAGATGTACATTGTAGAATGTGTCACATGCTTACCGGCTCCTTTCCATCCATGGCTTCAAGCCAGAGTTTCCTATTAGCTTCAGAGAAGGCTTGTAATGTGATGATTCCATGTCTACCAAAACCAAACATTTTACATATTAAATGTATTCCTGTTCTGTCTTCAAACATTTACTAATTTTTAAATTAACTACTTTTGTTAACTACAAAGATAAAATTTGAAGAAAAAAGTGGAAATTTGGAAAACTGATCTATAAGTACCTTTCAGAAAAATCGCTGTGACACACACATAAATGTTTATAATTCTAATGATCATGGATAATAAGATCATTATGTGCTTTAGGTGCAAGATTATTTGAAGGGGCTAGCTTCAAACTATGTCTTCTGAAATGACCAAAAAGGATGACAAAAATACATTCACCAAATTCAAAGCTTCCTAAATATTCCACAGTATAAGAATGATTGTTTTGATTCTGATTTGGTACAATCTAGTCAACTAAATACAATAATGATGAGTACATAGCAATGTGGGAAGCCTCATACCACAAGTAATAATTAAATACAAAGCAAATAATAAACAACAGTTCACAATAAAAATGGCACTAAACCCAAAGCATTTCTTTATATCATCACAATGTCAAAATTAATTTATTTAAAATAATTTTCTTCCATGAGGCCACTGTGAAATAGTTACTTAAGAATATACTTTGAAAAAAAATAAATAAAAATTTAAAAAAGAATATACTTTGAAAGAGAAAGTGCACAGGGAAGGAAGGAATCAATATAAGAAAGAAAAAGATTTGAAATCTTAGAAAGGAATTAATCTCATTAAATAGGAAAGTAGAGGAAACTGTGAAGGGAATGTCGAGAGGAAAATTTTGTTATAAAGGTTGTATGATTAAAAACTTGGAGTGATTTAAAGACAATAATCTACCTCTCTTCTGTAAATAAGGAAATAATTGGGATGTGTTATGTACAAGTATCAATTCTATATAAAAAACTAAACATTATATACTGCAAACATATACCAGAAAAGGGGGAGTCAAGTGATGGAGGAAGGGAGAGGAAGGGAAGGCAAAGGAGATAAAAATGGAATTAAGGTATGCTATATAAATGTACCAACTTTCCACAAGGAATGTAAACATTTGTATTACACACATGTACCAATAAACCAAAATAAAAATTAAAAAATAAAATATTTCCTTAGAATGATAGGAAAACAAAAATGTATATAAACAAGAAGATAATTTGATGTTGGAGAATTTAAGCCAGTCTAATAGCATCCATAATATAATTATAATGACAGACAGTATTTGCTGGTTGTTTACATTTTTTTGTGCGTGTCTCAGGCACAGGTTAATTACTAATGTTTCCTTTACTATCTCATTTAATCCTCATGATAAGTCTTGGAGGTGGGTATTGTCTTTGTAGATGATATAACTAAAGCACAGAATTTATCAATGTGTCCTAAGGATATAATTACAATATGCTAAAATAAAACAAGAGAAAGTATCCTGTTTTTATATATATATATATATATATATATATACACACACACAAAGTTTAGAGTTTCTACCATAAAACTATTAAAACTAGTAAGAATTCCGGAAAGTATGTTGGATATGAAATTGAGGTATAAAATAAACTAACTGCCTTTCTATACTTCAGTCTCAACTATTTAAGGAAAAAATGTAATTATGATGAGAATCTGATTCAAAACTGCAGTAAAAAGAAGGAAACCAAGAATATATAAAAAACAGATATGTGAAATCTTTAAGAAGTCAACTCATCAATTCATTAATAACTTTAATGTCATACCAGCCAAATCCTAAAGGGTTTATTTTTTTTTAAACAAAAGAGGGGAAACTTACTATGTGGCTCTCCAAAAGTATAAAAAAGAAAGGTCAAAATAGCTAACATAATTTTAAGGAAACATAAGAATGGAATCCTTACCTTATAGTTATAAGCTATGCATATTACATATAATGCCATAGTATAGATAGTGCACACACACATATACACACACAATATGCTAGAGCATTCAGAACAGTATGATAACACAATAGAAGAAGAATAGATTGGAGTTCACAAAGCAGAGAGCAAGAAGTAGTACCCCTGGTATTTTCAGTTCTACTTGTATGGTACAATAAAGGAGTAGAGCTAAATAGTTCCACTAGATTATGAACTCAGATGCTGTCATTTATCAGTCTTCTAATAACCTATGACTCAGAATCTCCTGCAGGCACTGAACTTAGCTGGCTGAGGGAAGCTTACGGCATTCCCTCCTATGCCTTCTTATTCCTGGGAAGCAAGGCTGTTAACAGACTCCAAAAGCCTACAAAATCTTGGCCCTAGAACCAAAAAAAGCTTCAGATTCCTTCCTTATAATAATTTTACCTAATATACTCATTTATATGGATTTTTCTGATTCTTCTTCGAGCTTATGTTTGCTAGCTTTCCGTGTCACATTTTTTAAAAAAGACCATACAATAAAATATGTGAAATGAAGTACACATATATAGTATTTTCAGAAAGTGTAAAAATACTTGTGTTATGTTATACTTATATCTAGATATAGAAACAGAAACAATTTAACTTGTAAAAATATAAAGTGAGAAGAAAAGCTCAAACCTTTCAACTACTTCTATGTCAAAGCAGAATCGTTTGTCGATTGAATCTGTCTTTCGCCGGATACAAGATTTTAACTTAAACATTTCCGGTGAGCTAGTAACAAGGCCATTCTGTATGTAACAAGGGGGAATCATATTATTAACATGACAAGGTGAACTGAAATATACTAAGTAAATGATTTAAAGCTGCCAAATTAAAAGGTTAAAAATGTAAATTATACACAAAGATCGTAATCACATTCTTTTAAAATTTCCTTAACATTAGCTGTTCCATTATAATACATCAAATCATTAATTAATAAAATATACATGTTTTATTTAAAAGAATTCTGTGACATGCCTAATACTTTTCAACACATTTACTTATAATGTTAAGTTACAATACACAAGGCCTTACAACTTAAGATTTTGAGAAGGTATGAAATTATAGAATTGCTGTAACATCACAATTAGATACAGAATACTTGTTAGGACACAACACTGTTGCTGTTAATCAAAATTTCATAGATTGCTAAGAGATTATTATCATGTTAGTGTGTCTTTGTATTAGTACTTTATAGTATCAAATGATAGTTACCTCAAAGTCACAAAAGAGCTACCAAAATAATAAGTTCTAGTACATACCTACTATACTGCTATGCTTAACACACCATGAGACTGTTTCGGTGCTAACCAACTGCTACTATACAATTAAAACTAAATCTCTTTGGACAAAATGGAACCTAGGTTCAATTTACAGGACTTCTGTTCTATATCTGAAATGCTAGTCTATTTTAAGGGGAAATTTACCCAATGTCTGGTTAATTTTTTGTTTGGTTACAAATCTCATAGATTTATTTATTTATTTATTTATTTATTTGGTACCGGGGATCGAACTCAGGTCCTTGTGCTTGAGCAGCAGGCGGTGAAACCACTGAGCTAAATCCCCGGCCCTCTCATAGATTTATTAACAGAACTTTGGCTCGATCTATTTATATGATTAATTCCCTGTCATGTAAGTTGGCTTTCTGACAGTTACTACTCTAAAAAAGTGAAACTAGCTGTGTTGACAGCACTTACTAACTTCTCACAATGGTAACAATCTGTGGTTTCACTATTTTCTTGTATGTTCTCCTTTATTTTATGTCTTTTGGTTTGAATTATTAGACTCTGATGAATGCCCAAGCACAATAAGTTTCATCTGGCATGTTTGAGTAGGTGTCTAACTTCGATCAACCTTTACATCTGCCATCATCTATACTAGTTATTAGTTGTGTGAGTCACTTACTATTAGAAACTTGCTTCTGGACCTGTTAAAATTAGGTTAGAATAATTATCTCTAAGATAACTCCTAGCTCCAGGATTCTTAGATCAAGCTCTAACAATCTAATTCACAAGTACAACTATTTGCCATACTCGTATCTTGACTTGAAAAAAAGGTACATTGCATTCACTAAAGCTCTCAGTAGTTTTCCTCAAATAGTGTACACTATGTCCTATACTGTTGACTAGCCATGCAAAACACTCGGCGTCCAATTTACTTTTGGGGCAAGTGAGCATTGATTCGTTTCTTATGAAGAACTTGCTGGCCAGCATTTTGATAAACAATACAGTGCAGAAGAGGCAAAGGCATGCAAGGGCAACTGCAGTATCGACAGAAGCCACTGGGGAAGGATACAGAATCCCTGAGCCCCATCCAGCCACTGACAGTCCACCCTGGCTGCTAGTCAAACCCCAGTGAAGACCAGTAACTCTGTGGCCAGGGCTGGGGGATGACATGTCAGTAATGTTTTGAAGGACCCTACATTTAACTCAACTGCTTAAAACATGGCCAGTTTAAAAAAAAACCCTGACCAGTCTTTTTAAGTTAGTGAGGTCACTAAAATGAGAAAACTTTTTGACATTTCAATTTTTAATAACTCATTCATGTTATTAGAAAACAAAGTACATGTGATAGTCTGTTTTACTTCTATTACTTATTAACAACCTTAATATTTGTTTTAAAAATGAACAATCAGAACTAACTTACCATTTTCCCACTGGATTTCATTTCCGAAACACTCATTGTAAATGTTTTACTTCCCTTATCATATGTACAGTAATGTTTAATCCATGTGAAACCAAGTGGTCCTAATAAGGAAACAAAACTATTTCAGATGTCAATAAATGATTCGTATCTAAGATTGTACATCGTCACCCAAATGAGTACTCCCATATATCATTTAGCTTGGAACATTTACTGTGAAAAAGGCCAGATGAGGGACAGTAGCAGATGATACAATATCTTAGACTCAAAAAACTTGACTTTATTTGTGAGTACCCACTGACTCTGTAAGCTCATGGAGTGGTTAGATCTGAACTCCAGCTGTTCACTGGAAAAGTGGTATATAGTTGGTCTTCCACATCTGGAGGTTCTGGATCCACATACTCAACTAACCATGGACTGATAGTATTTGAAAGATAACTTGTACCCGTACTGACTTTTTTTTTCATTATTTCCTATGCAATACAATATAATCATTATTTATATCACATTTACACTGTATCAGGTATTATAAGCAATTGAGAAATGATTTAAAGTATATCAGAGGATGCTCAAAGGTTATATCAAATATTGTGATATTTATTTGAAACTTCAGCACTACAGACTTTGGTATCCACAGGGGACCCCGGAACTGGTGCCCTGTAGATGCTGAGACAAGTATTTGTACTCCACAGAGGTAGGATGAAAAAGAGTATCAGTTATTAAAAATGGTACCCTTACACCTATTATTGTTCCTCACTTTCAAAACTACTGAAATATCCTGCTGAAAATCTACCAGTGTATTTCACTCCTTTGTTCAAAACCCTACAGTGGCTTCCTACTTTAGCCCAGTAAAAACCAAAGCGCTTTGTAGATGATCATTTCATCTACATATAAAGATTTTGTTTCTACCTTGCCAACCCTATCCTAATTGTTTCTTTTTATTGCCAGACTATTTTGGTTTGGGCCTATGTTTCAAAGTTTGATGGACAGATGAAGAGTAGGCATATCTGCCCTTGTTCTCCACCTTAGGGAGAAAGCATTGTATCTTTTCCATTCACATAAGGCGTTTTTGCTGGAAGTAGGGAGTACATGGCTTATCTGTTGAGAAGATTCTGTTCTACTTCTAGTCTCCTGATAGCTTTTACCACGAACAGCTGTAGAATTTAGTCCAATACTTTTTCTCCAACTAGTGACTTGATCATATGGCTTTTTCCTTTCCTCTGTTAAAATGATGACTTATGGGGGTGGATCTTCCAATGCTGAACCAACATTGCCATCCCTATAATAAAACTGCTTTCCACATACTGCCAGATCTGACTTCTAACAGTTTGTTTTGTTAAACAAATTTTTATCTATGGTCATACATTTTTCTTCTATTATCTTTATCCAGTTTTAGGATTAGCACAATGTTGAGTTCTTAAAATGAGGAGAGAAGTGTTCCTTCTTTTTTCTGCTTTAAATGTTTGGTATAATTTATCAGTTAAAATGTATGCAAGCCTGTTGTTGTCATATAGGTAGGTTTTCAAGCTAGGAATATACTTTCTTTAATAGGTGCTATTCAAATTTTATATTTCCTCCAGAGTCAATTTCATTGATTTGTCTTCCAAGGTACTTCTTAGAAGTTGTCAAATTTATTTCAAAAAAGTTTTTGTAATATGCTTTCTATATCCTTTTAAATTCTGTAAAATCTGTGGTAATGTCTTCTAAATTTTGATATTGTAATTTTTAAAATGTATAATTGATACTGTGTAATAGGAAGAATAGGTCTAAAGGAGCAGGGGAAGTGGGAAGGGTAGGGGGAAAGGAAAGAAGGGAAAAATGTGAGAAAAGGAAAAAAAAATGGAAACAAAGTCTTTGCAAATAGGGAAGGGTGGAGGGGGTAAAGAGAGGGCAGGGGAAGGGAAAAAAAAAAAAAGAACTAAGATACTCATGTAATGGTAGAAGATCCCAAAGATGAATGTAACTGTATTGTTTACCTAAAATGGACCAATAAACTTAATGGGAAAACAACAACAGCAACAACAACAACAACAAAAGAAACCCAAAGCACAAGCTGGGCATGGGGTGCACGCCTATAATCCCAGCACTTACTTAGTGAGATTAAAGCAAAAGGACCTCAAGTTCGAGCCCAGCCTGGGTAACTTAGTGACTTAGTGAGACTCTGTTTGAAAATACTCCTACCATTACTAACAACAACAACAACAATAAAGTGAAGGGCTGGAGATGCAGCTCAGTGTGAAGTCCCTGGGTTCAATCCCCAGTACTATTAGAAAAGTGTATTATTCACTAGGCACTGCATGAGCAGATCTTTGCTGTCTTTCTCTTGCCTCACATCCCATCACCTTTTGCATTATACATTCTGCTCCAACCACATTGACACCTTTGCTGGTCCCTGACCACAGTGACTGCATTTCTATCCTAGGAGCCTTGTACTCACTGTTCCTTCAGTCAGAACTACTTTTGTTTCAGATATCTGTATAACTTGCACCATCACCTCTTTCCGGTCTTTTACTGTATGCCACCTTCATAATACAGCCTTTCCTGGGGAGACGTCTAGCATCCCAACACCCTCACCTTGATATTTTTTATTTGTTTCTTCGGAGCAGTTATAACTGTCTAAACATGATAAATTTTATTAATTTATCTTATGTATTATCTGTCTTTGCCATTAGGCTCTATGGCTCTATGACAATAGTATTGCAGATAGGTAATTTAATTAGATATCTTGTGTGCAGTTAGATGGAACCAGCCCTCCAGGAGCCAACACAGCAAGGAGCCAACATGGAGAACAATTGAGGCACATTCACTGGATAGCATTATAAAAAGGAAAAGAAGTACTGCTTCCCCTAGAGATAGATAGCAGTGATTGATATTCTAAATGGGAAATTCCTTGTATGTGATTTGTCTTCTCATTTGATCCCCACTTAATTAATATTACCTGGGTGACTGTACTTGTAATCTTACTGGTTGGTCATGGTTCTGTCCTACCTCATGCCCACCTTGTAAATTTCCATGGGGTCATATAGTTTTGTTCCACTTTGTATCCGCCTCACCACATGGCTTTGCTGTATAAAACATCTTTGAAAAGTGGGGTGAGTGGGCAACCTGCTTTCCGGTCCCCCTTCTGTTTCTCTTAGGCAGAAGCTTTCTTTCTCCCAATAAATTTTTCCTACTCTGAACCTCTGTTTTTCCTAGAATTCATTCTTCAATTTTAGAGAACACTAACTAGTGTTTTAGATATCTAGCAAGTTTGGGAATTACATCTTTCCCCTCTATATCAGTAGGAACATAGGCTACTTAGCTGACTAGAATATTCTTAATCCTTAGAATATGGTCAGCCATACAGCTCATTCTCAATAAATATTTGACAAATATATGAAGGAATGAATCATTCAACTTGCTCTATGACTTTACTGACCTTGCAATTATATCCTTTTACCACTAATCTGAAAGAAACAAATTCAAATTATTCCTTAAAGATGAAAATAAGATTGGCTATTTTTTTTTAAAAAAAACCTTGCATACATCTACTTTCTTCTTCCGCAGAAATACTGTTTAACCTTCCATAGCATGCCATGCTATCACCTAGTATTCTCTTTAAGGAACTGGACGCTGCTGCTTTACTAGTAGTCTGCGCCCTTAGTTCAGTTTTTCCATGACCAAACTACAAGACCTGCAGTTTTCCCACAGGAAAGCGAAGTGTCCTGAGCTCAACTGCCAGAGTGGGCTGAGTCAGCCAAAATTTGAGCTCGTTTTCTATAAAGCTTCTTCACCTAGGGACCCATCCTGCTTAACACCTGGGTTTCTCTAGCATGTACTGTGCACAATGTTATTGCTGGCTTGATTTCAAAACCATATATTTAAAAGCAAGAAACTGAAATATAAAGAAGCACCTCTTGAGAAAAGCGTTTCATGAGCCATTTGAATTATTTTTCTTTAATAATGGTGCCCTTGGTGTCAAATTTAACTTTAGTACTAAGCCATTCCAGATTTTAAAATTACGAGGTATAGCCATATACTTTATAATCACAAAGGATTATTGTAATTAACTTCAGTTCTGTTTGGGGACCATTTCACACTATAATACTTAACAATACTTGTTGATAATTCTGTTACATGCGATGTAAAAATACTTAACGGTTTAGAGCTGAGTAGTGGAAAACAGCAGGATGGAAATCACAGTGACCTTAGGACTTAGCTAACGATTTATGAAACATTATTAGTTATAGTTTTAAAATAAAGCTACTGCAATGTCTGGAATATATATTAGACCTAAGATGTGCTTTCCTGCCTCCGCCTCAAGTTCAAAACAACCTGCACTGAATAACCAAGTTTACTGAACACACATGCTGCTTCTTTAAAGTTGCCCAGCAGTAGGCCAGGGCAGATGTTCTTAGACAAGTAATTCCGAAGTTCCTAAAGGTGTCTAAGAAAATAAAAATTTATTACAACTTTCAAGTTGCAAAATAAAAAAGAAGTTTAATTATCTTACCTAGTAATCATCTAAGGCTGCTGAGATGACTATTCGAGGAGTGGGAGGGGAATTAACATTTACTGAATACTTATTAAGGGCCTACATTTTATGTAAGAACCTTCTAAGTCAGGTATGAGACTATTTTACATATAAGGAAACTGAGCCTAGCAGCTGTAGATGGCAGTACTTTTTTCAACAGGACATATGGATTATATTCCTTTTTTGGAGGACTAATGCTCTTAAGTTGTTTTAAGAACTGAATTAAATATACAATGTACAGAACAGTAAGGGATCATGGTAAACACAGTACTATGATTTTTAATACCACCACTAAAAATAGAGACATTGTGTACACAATTTTCTAATTCTTGCAACATCTTTAGGAGATAAATATAAATATCTATCTTTTATAGGGCCGAGGATTTAGCTCAGTGGTTTCGCCGCCTGCTGTGCAAGCGCAAGAACCTGAGTTCGATTCCTGGTACCAAAAAAAAAAAATCTATCTTTTATAAATGAAGAGACTGAACTCTGAAAATGGCAAGAATGACACAGTTAATAAGTGACAGACATGGAATTTCAACACAGTTGACTCTGGAACTCCCACCCTTCCTGGTTAAAGTCTTCTAGTATGTGACTTTATGCTTGCCTTGAGGTGGGTGATGTGAACGCCACATATCCAGATAAAATGAAGCTGTGTGTCTAAGCCGCAGTGCTCTGTTTCTACCCCATCACATCCATCACTATTTATCACTCAATTCACAGCCCTGAGATTTAGTATTGATCACTGGTTACCAACTGAGTTGATATTGTGCTTTCAACTACCAAAGATGCCCTGAAACCAAATTCTTTATCTCATTTTCTGGCCCTCACAGAACTTACTCAGTGAAAGCAAGCACACAATTAATATATATTTTAGTAAATTTAGTGGTCAAATTTTCTTATATAAATGCTTTCAAAGATTACAAATTGGAAGAGGCTTTGAATATTTGCCCCTCATATAAAAATAATTCTCAAGGATGTAAATACAATCATTTTCTTTTTAAATCCCTAGGCAAGGGGAATGGGGAAGAATAGACGGTGGGAAAAGACAGAAGGGTGGGATTTTAAGGGGCAAGAGAGAAGTTTTGAAAGTGATGACTTCAACATCATTGCGGTGATGCTTGCAGAGGTGCACACATATGGTAAAAGGATTAAACCGTAAATTTTAAGCCAGTGTAATTTACTGTATGCTGATTACATATCAATAAAGCCATAAAAATAATGCAGATAGATACAGAGAAAGTCAGGATGGAAATTGTGTTGGGAGAGGAAGGCATGAGAGAGAGAGAGGCGTTAGTAAAAAGAGAGTCCAACTGTGAGAGGTCCAGTGTCAGGCTCTACCAAGGGGCATTGCCACGCCACACCAGCTCTGCAGAAGGATCTGCAGGAAGCTCCACAGGGGATGGGTTAGAGGCAGGAAACCCTGGGGGCACTCAGGGAAACTGCTGCAGAGCTCTGGCCTGGGCTAAATTGCTGGAGATGAAGTAGAGTTAAAGGATAGCCAGGAGGCAAAATAGATTTTGCATTAGGCTCCAGAGAGAGAGATTTGAGCTAAGGATTACCTTCAGCTATGTGGCTTTAGGAGAGTAGAGATGTCATTAACACATACAAAAATCCTCACAGGTAATGTCAGTACTACAAAAGGTTTAATGATCAGAATAATCCAGAGGAAACATCAAGTATCTTGCAACAAAAGATACTAACATTAGCTAAGCCCCTAAAGACTGTAATTAGTCCACCCAAATGAGCCACATGGTATTAAAGGGCCTATACTTATAGACTATTTGACCTGAATGTCCAATAGCTTAGGACCAGGTAAGCAACTTATGGTACTATCCAGTGGATGAGCTACCAGTTAGTGACAGAATGTGATATACTTGAAAATTACATTCAAAATCAATTTGTTAGGTAATCCTAAACTTTGTTTTAAGTAAAAAATATTAGCCAGGTATCGTGGCACATGCCTATTATACCAGTTACTCAGGAGGCTGAGGCAGAAGAATCTCAGGTTTGAGTCTAACATGGGCAACTTAGCAAGACTGTATCAAAAAGGCAAACAAAACAAAATAAAAATGTGTATACATAAGCAACTGTTTAATACCTGTGAAGAATTCAAGAAATAAAACATTATTAGGCTAGAAGGAATAAAAAATTTATTTATAGACATGAAGATGGCACCTCTTCTACCTCCACTGCATGTCTGAAGAAACTGCCAAGAAACTTTTCTATTCTGCCAAATCCATTTATTAATGCAAATGTCAGCACCTCTCAATGTACCCTCACATGGAGGCTCTCAAACCTGACTTAAAATTAAGTATCAAAATTTTCTTTAAAGTCCCAAGCCAAAGCTACAGTATATACCAAATCTCTATGTGAATCTATGCCTTGGTCGTTCTTCACAAATTGAGGGGGTGGAGTGAAAGCTGGCTATCAAGGTCTAATTGGAGATTGCTAGGAAGATCACTGAGATTTATCATTTTAAGAACTCCAAAGAACAAACTGGCCAAAGTTGATAATAAAGACAGAGAAAATTCTAGAACCCAAATCTCCCTGGCCAGTGTCCTTCTGCTATTTGGATCATAGGGTAATAAATGTTGGCAGAGTCTGATGATCAAATTGTTACTTGGTGGCACAACGCTCTCCAACAACTGAGCATTACCTAGGCATCTCAAATGCAAAATTTATTGATGTTTTGGTGACTGTGTTGCATATATGTAAAAAAACCTTTCACAGCCAAGTCTGTGTCTGTGGGCTTCCCTATCATAAACCATTAGACTACATTGTTTTACCAAATAAAACAATTTCATTACTCTTTTGCCTACTGACATGGAGGCTTCATAGCAGTGCTATCCTATATGTTTATTAAGTCCCAGTGTGAGAACAGTATAGAAAGTGAGAACAAGCATTTCAAAACTTTTGTAGCAATTCAACATAGCCATAAAATCTAAGCATATGATTTCATATTTTACAAAGGCACTCTTTCATGATGGATTGAAATAACAACAGTACCTCCACCATAAAACAGTATAAGAACAGTTTTTATGGCATACTTGATTGAAATAAAGTTTATTTAGTCAAAATCTTCAAACTGCTTGTACTTAATGATAACTAACAGGCAGAAAAAACCCTAGTTTTATGAGCCTGAATCACTTTTTATTAATTTTTGTGAGAAAAATTTTCTTAACATGAGGCAATTATAATAGTGTTCTATTGGGTCTGGTACTTATTTTCTAAACCCAGGAAGTAAAGAGTGCCAATGTGACATAACATAATTGCCGATTTTAGTCCTGAAAATTGGCAGAGCACAGAATTAAATGAAATAATTCTGATGGAAGGAAAGAACTGTTATTACAGTTGCCAGGATGGTTCATCTTGATAAAGACTCTGATTTTCAATTTTCTATGAAACTCTAAATTGAGTTATCACAATTAAATTCTAAAACTGAACTTCGGTTATGTATGGTCGGTGAAGACGGCAAGTTCCAAGTTCAACAATATGCTAGCTTAGAGTACCTGATGCCAGTCTATGGCCATAACGCCCTAACGTATCTGATCTTGTCTGACTTTGGAAGCTAAGCAGGGTTGGGCCTGGTTAGTTCTTGGATGGGAGAGTACCTGGAAAAATTCCTTACTTTGGAAGTGGTGGTAATAGTAGTGGTGGAAAAGCAGACTGTTTTAAATATGACAAAACTGTAGGGAATTTCAGTCTTCCTAGGTGAAGAAAACAATAACAACCAAAATAGCACATTATGATTATCACAAAGACATGAATTATGCCTTTTGACTCACGTTTCTCCTGGACATAAAGGTAGCCTTCCATTGTCCACTGGCTGGGTGGTCTATAATCTTGGTTGGCAGATTTCATCCTTTGCATCAACCGCTCTACCTCTTGTCGCGTACTTTCAAAATTATTCCTTGTCTTCGTAAATAGAAACAAGAATTTCATTCACTATTTTCTACCAGGTTTAAAGGCCTTCCCACTGAAGTTTCAAAACCACAAATGGTACAAAAGGTAGCTCTGATTCTTTTGGCACTATTAAACATATTCATGATGCTGTGATGTTCAGTCTTTGATATGATTTTGAATTATTTTAGTGAAAATTTCCTTGAATGAACTTCCACACTTTTTCTCCTTTGAATACCTTTGTGATGTGTTTATGTGTGAATGCACGAAGCAAAGACTTTCTTCTTACTTTCACACTCTAATTTTACTACTTAGAATTAAAAATATGTAAGATCCATTAAATACAGTTTTAAATCCTCTAACCTCTAAATGTAAAAAGGAGATACATTTGACTTAATGTGAGGGAAAAAATTTGATATCTTTGATATAAATGGTAATGAGTAAATCAAGAAAACAATTTGTCACCCTTGTTTCAAAAGTTTTTTGAAGAAATATATAATTTGATTTTTAGAAATAAGTTATTAAAAGATTGGTATAAAAATTAATTCATAAAAATGAATACATGTCCAAGTTCTAACTTCTTTTGCAAGAAATGGTTTACTCACGTTAGAGTAAAGTTACTTAAGCTAGAGAAAACATCAGGTTTTTCCCTATGAAAATCTCTTTTGTGTTCACATCATATTACCTTACATAATAGTGTATGTGTCTGAAAACAAAAATCATAACCACCTAAGATCTTATTATATCCATAACACAAGAACGGAATCTTAAAATAGATTAGAAAATTTTTCCTGTGACTTTTTTCTATTTTTCTCTTTCAAACACAAGGATTAAAGTTTTTTTTCCATTTCCTTCTTCTTTTCCCATTCCTGAATTCCAAGAATCTAAACATAATTGTATTTAATATGGAAATAAATCCTAAAAATAGTTTGTCTTTTATAATTTTCCTATTTAATATTCCTTTTAATATTTAATTCTAAGTGTATTTCATGTTGAAAAGCAATAGAAATGAATTAAAGGTGAAAAGTGATTTTGCTAGAAAATCTAAGTTAAATAAAAACTAAAACTAAACACACAAATAGAATAAATCCAAATGCGTATCTCTTATGGGAAACTCCAACCTTACAGTTTTATTTACTGAACATCTCTTCAATGACAAGAATCAGATAAGCAGAGAAACATGTCATTTAAGAAAATTAAGTGAAAGCTTCTTACATTATTTTGGTTAGAGTATTAGATACTCAGGGTTTCAGTTACAGAAAATAATGTAGGAATTAAAATCTATTCTTGTTAGGTTTGACAATGTAGAAATGGCAAAAGACCTTTTCCCTTATAATGGAAATGTGGCTCATTAACTGAAAATCAGAAATTGTTAAACCATTAAATCAGTAATTAAAATGACTGATTGACAACTTCACAAAATAAACCTGATAAAATAGATACGCTGTTTGGAAATAATTCCCACTTATGCTTTAAAGCAGTTATTTTGAATGTTTCAAAATAACATTATTATTATTTATTATTTGACAATAATAAAAAACACATATTTTACAAAATATTTCAGAAAGAGATGGTATGTCTGAGTATTAAAATACACTACCTTCATTTCACCAATGTAGAAATGTTGCTCTCTTAACAAATAAGACTTACGTTGGGCAAATCAATGTTTTTTTCCAGCTTCAAGGTATGTTTAACAAATAAAAATTGTATATAGTTAGCGTTTGCAAAATGATGTTTTGCTATATACTGTGAAGAGATTCTAAGAATCAAGATAACCAATATATCCATTACCACATTTGTGTGTGTTATGATTTATCTTATATGTGCCTCCAGAACCTCATGTGTTTAGAAAGTGATTGAATCATGGGGACACTGTGCTTATCAGATTCATGCATTGTCCAGTTCAGTAGCTGACTGCTGTAGAGAGTTGGGGCCTGGTCAGAGGAGGCAGTCACTGGGATACTGACCTGGAAGGGTGTATTTTTACTCCTGGATGCTCCTGTGTCTGTCTGTCTGTCTCTCTCTCTCTCAGCTTTCTGTGAGAAGGTGTCTTCTACTAGGTCCTTCTACCAAGCCCTATTTCTCTTGGATGCGGGTGACTTTGGGATGAATCCACTGGAAACTATGAGCCAAATAAACTTCTCCTCCTTTAAGTTATGGGAGTCAGGTATTTTGTCCTAGCAACAGAAGTGTAACTAATACGTAGTGTGTGGGGTGTGTGTGTGTGTGTGTGTAGCATATTTAAGTTCAACACTCAGTGAATTTCCAATTTCAAAGTATATAATGTAGAGCTATTATTAACTATCATCATCTATACAGTAGATGTCTGGAGTTCATCCTTGCATCACTCAGTAAATTAATGAAAAAACTAGATAAAGGCAAACATTTTCAAATTTCTAGGTGTTTACACCTAGGCAATATAAAATTTGCTGGTATAAATTGTTCTAACATAAGCTTAGCTTCTTTTTTTAAAATTTACTTATAGGCAGAATCTGGAAAAAATATATTTATAAAGTGACTTTTCTAAATTATAAGGTTTAGCATACTTTGACAAGTTGTTGAAAGATTCTAAGGTTTGACTTGTTTGTGACTGAGCTGTCCTGTGGTCATTAGCTTCACTAAGGAAAGACAGTAGAAAAAGGCATAGTCTTACGTTCTGCAAATTGAACTGCAGCTGTTGCTTATATGGTGCAAATTCCTGGGCAAGTTCATATCCCTCATGGTAAAAAGTAAATAAACCTTGAAGGAACGATAAAAGCTGCAAAGATAAAGAGGTAAAAAAGAAGCCATGAGAACTTATTTTTTTTTAAGAGATCATCCCTAAATGTAAAATACTGAAAAATTATATTTCATTCTATTTCCTCAAACTAAAAAATTTCAAACTTTTTGTTTGGCAAGCCAGGCAACAGAATTATGCATAGGAAATAAACTATATCATTAACTTTTATTTCCATTTTAGTAGACAGTGATTTAGTTTTTAAGTATATCATAAGCAGTTGCCATATTCAACTATTCAAATACATTGAAGAAATATCTGTAGGAGACCACAAAGGGGATAAAGACCAAAGTGACATAGGTCCTAGTGTGGAAGAGCTTCTAACCACAATAGGGTGATGAAGCAAGTGCAGGTATATGCAAGACTAAACCACTAAATTACAGGTAGAAAACACCCAAGGAAAGGAATGAAAAAAATCTGGCCAGAGGAAAATAAGAAAAGTACCACAAGGTGGCAGTACTGACTTTGGTATTAAATAGAGAACCTTTTAGCAAGAATGCAAAAAAAAAGGGGGTTGAAGCAAACAAAAAACATACCATATAGCATAGATCTCCAACACAGGTCTTTGCTATCAGAATTACAGTAAAATTTTCTTCAGAAAAAAAATTACCCATGACAGCCTTCTAACATCAAATTCATTTATGCTTATATTTTTATCTGTAAAGTAAAACTGACTGTGGCATTATACAGCACATGACTATTTATGGAATGCTTATAGAATAGGTTATATATATGTCAAAGATTTTAAATTTTTTATTTAATTTACTTAGGTTTTACTCCATAGACTCATCCACTAACTTAATCTCTCCTACAATCTTTTTGCAATATTAGAAAATATTTCTGAAAAGTGGCTCATAATATGTCTACAACTAATTATTTTAAAATAAGGAAGAAACAGAATATGAAATCATTTTTGTATATAAATATTGTCCTGCCACTTCCTGTATCTGAGGAGGCAGGGAGGATTGGGCTAAGCATTGACTGGTATGTGTGTTATGATTTTCAACAGGTAAGTACTGGTTGTATTGAGAAATAATGAGCTAATGCTTCTCTTCCTATCAAAAAGTCAGTCAGTCAACTTCATACAAAGTTATGTTCATTTTGAATAGCAAATACTTTCAAATCATTATGTTTCTGTATTTTAAGGATTTTTCTTCTTGTTCAACAGTTCCTGATATCATGATAAAATGTACTAGTTACCAATTTTAGAAAACTTTTATACCCTCAATTTTACATCAACTGATAATTACTCTCAAAACTATTCAAGAGATCATGCTAAAACACATTTGACAGATCATCCAAAAGCATACAGTTTACCTTAATGGAGCCTGTATAAACCAAACTGGAGCTTAAAACTGGATTAAAAATATCTTTAAATAGATTTTGAGTGTACATATGTAGAGCTTTTCCAAGATGAAATAAGGAAATACTTTTGAAACAGATAGTATTTGTTCTCTGAATATCCACATAATAGTTTATGAAGTTGTTCGTGGAGTAGTTTCATGACTTAGCATTTAGAATTATTGTACAATCAAACTGTCTTGTTATAAACTGGACATCATATGAAGCAGATGCTAGTTTAAAGTCTAGATAAGCACAAAAGTTAATACAATTTATAGAGAAAATAATTTCAGAGTATCTGTGACAAATTTTTCTACAAACCAACTAATCTCCTATTCTGAGTGTCCAGACATTTGAAAAGAAGAAGCACCTTGACGTTTTAGAAATAGGAAGTAAACAATTCAGAATTTAACCAAAACATTACTAAAAAGTCTGACAAGTTTCTAGTTGATATCTCTAGGCCATGAAGGTTTATGATGTGTTTGAACTGCTCTATCCTAGCTTGATGCTCCAGTCTGAGAGCGATATAAAACTTCAGAAGATAAGACATATGGAGAAGATTGCGGGGTCCTCTCTGCTGAACCCCGACTACCTGTGAGGCAGCCCTCATCACACCAAGCGCCTCCTCGTGATGCAGTCGTGCTGAAGTGTGTGAGCCGCCTAACTGAAACTCTTTTCCAAAAGTATTTTGGCACAGGCTGTTGGAAAGCAGTATTCTCCACTGAGCTTTGCTGTTAAATTCTTAATCATGTTTTTAGAAGTATGATTCTGGGACCTCCATTTTTATTCAGATTACTCTACGTCCTTAGCATTTTAGGATGCAGCAACTTCAATCATGATGAAAATAAACCCACTGGCATCTTTCAGCAGGATTCAGATTCACTTAGTAGCACACAAATGTTTTAAACTCACAACACATATTGAGCAACCACTAGGGAATGTATAACTCTATAGAAAATATATAAACATTATATACAAAGAACACTCACCTTTTCTTTTTGTCCCATATCATCTTTGGAAGCAGCTTTTGGGAAAGTTTAATAAAGAGCATGCACATGAAACAACTGTCTCTAGATGGCAGCAGAGTTTAGATTTTTTTTAGGTTAGGATAAATACTCCTTTATTTAATTCTTGACAAATTCCATGATGCTAAACCAACAGGATTTAATAGGACAGCCTGAAAAGTTTTAAAAAATGTATTTTGCATATGTCATTTTCTTCAGTCAATGTGTCTGAGTAGACAGGGTGTTGTGGAAAAGACTTACCTTAAAGCAAATCTGACCTTTAGAACAATAACAGCAAAAATAATTATAACAACAGACTACTACATAGATTAGGTTTTGATTAAGGAAGTCCTTTTCATTATTGGGAAAAATGTCAAATAGCACTTTATTATCCCCAAGGATTTTAGAATTAAATTACTGTCCCTTTATTAACCTGACCGAGAGTAAAAATTTATATAGCACTTACAATCTTTAAGATGAGCCCATTAAAATTCATCAAAGGAACAAATACTCATATTTTCTCATCTTCTTAATCACCAGATAATTAACAAAATGCAGTATAGATGTGGCATTTTCAAAAGGTTCAAGCTTTAAGGGCCCACAGTCACCAGCAATTTCGTACATGGCAGAGAAAAAGCAAGAGCTGAGAAAAGGGGTGGAAGCTGATGTGAGGGTGAGGAGAGAACTCTGCAGCAGTACACACAGCAGCTCCAGATAACTGCTGCCCACACAGGCACAAGAACCGGGATGCAATCACTCAGAAGACAATGTAATTCATTCCTATATCCTCACTGTCTTTTCTGACTAATGACTATCAATGAATGATTTTCTTTAGCTTATTAAAATGCCAAGGTGGCAGAGATGTTCCAAACACAGGGCAACACTACTCATCACACTCCAAATGTGCTCTTAGATTTCAGAGACTGCGCAATCAACTCCTAGGGAGCATTTGTGGGAGCCTTACCAAAGGAGTAAGGAAAGCTGCCAAATGTAATTTAGTGATAATGCTGAAGCTCTACAGCATACATTTTATCTACCAAAAAAAATCAAATCATTCACTGGTTAAAATTCTCTTTGTAGTTAACATCATACTTAAAGATGAAAAGCTGCATGCTCTTTAACATCAGGTGTAAGACAAGGATGTTCACTCTTGACACTTCTGATTAATATTATACTCTAGGTGCTAGTCATGGCAATTAGACAGGAAAAAGAAATACAAAGCATCCAGATGGGAAAGAAAACAGCAATATCATTTTTATTTGCAAACAGCACAATTTTATATTTATAACATTCAAAGGAATCTAACATAAAACTACTAGAACTAATAAGTTCAGAGAGACTGCAAGAGACAAAGATCAGTAATATATTTTGTAATAGAAAATTTGAAATGAAATTTAAGACATTCCATTTACAGTAAGTTTAAAAGTAATAAAATATTTAGAAATTACTTTAACAAAAAAGTATAAAATCATCTATTTTGAAAACTATAAAACATTGCCTGAAGAAAGTGAAGAAGGTCCAAGTAAATGGAAAATACCTCAAATTTGTGGGCTGGAGAAATTAATAGTAATAGTTTTCAAATTGATGCAGAGATTCAATATAATCCCTGTCAGAATCCCAGCTAACCTTTTTGAAGTAACTCACATGCTGACTCTAAAATTCATGTGAAGTTACAAAGGACACCAAGTAGCCAAAACAATTTTAACAAAACAAAACAAAAAGTAAAGTAGGAAGATTCCTATTTGTGGTCTCAGAACTTGATACTAGGTAATAGAAGTCGTCCCAGTGTGACATTGATATATAACAGGACGGACATATAAATCAATGAGATGGAATTGAAATTTTTACAAATTCTCATTCATCTATGGTCAACTGATTTTTGACAAGACTTTGAAAAGCATACAATAGAGAAATTATGGTCTTCACAGAAAAATATGCTAGGAATAGTTAATTACATGTAAAAGAATGAAGTTGAACTCACATCACAGACAAATATTAACTAAAAATGGATCACAGACTTAAATTTTTTAAACTATAACATACTTAAAAACATTAGAGGGCCAGGAACATAGCTCAGTGGCACAGAGCCTGCCTGGCAAGCACAAGGCCCTGAGTTCCATTCCCGGTACCAAACAAAACAGAACAAAAATTAGAATCTTGTATTCAAAATATTCTTATATATGACATCAAAAGCACAAACAAGAGCAACAAAATAGACAAACCTTACTTCATCGAAATTAAAACCTCTTGTGCTTCAATGTAAGCTATCAATAAAATTGAAGGAAACTAAGAGAATGGTATAAAAATATCTGCAAATCATTTATCTGATAAGGGACTTATATCTAGAATATAATAACTTTTATACCACAATAATACAAAAACAAATAACTCTGATTGAAAATAAAGAATCTGAATAGACATTTCTCTAAAAAGGACATATAAATGGTCAGTAGGCACTTGAAAAAAATTCCTGACTTACTAGGCATCAAAGAAATACAAATCAAAATCAGAGTAACTTCACACGCTCTAGGATGGTGTCTTCAGTCATTTCTATGTACTTAATGAATTTGCTGAGACACAATCAATACTCAATGCCTACAACTTAAAAGGAGGAGTTGTTTTAGTTTTTGCTTTTTGGCCCTCAGTTTCAGTGTTCAGTCCATGTTTGGCGCACTCCAAGGCAGAAATGACACAGAAAAACAGCACGGTAGAGGAAAGCTGCTCACGACATGGCTGCCAAGAAACAGAGAGAGAAGGGGATGGTGGAAGGACTTGGGCAGCCAGGGGATGTGCCCTTGAGAGGGCAGAGCTTGAAACTGTGAGAGTGAAATCAAAAGTGTAGTGAAGACCCCAGGAAGCTGGAGAAGCCAGGAATTTAAAACATCTGCTGAGCGAAGCCACAGGTGATGAGTGAAGCCACCAATAGAGAGGCTGTGAGGTCTACACCTGGGTAATGCCCTAGGGGTGGGGCTGCCTACACCCTTTGTAGCTCATGTCTTGTCACAATTTGCTCTGAGTGCTAAACATGGAGCTACAGGATTTCATGTTTGCCCTGCTGGGTTTCAGTTTTACTTCGGTCTGATTCTTTTCTATCCCCTATTCCTCCCTCTTAGAATGGGAATTTTTACCCTGTGCCATTTTAAGTTGAAAGTGTTTAACTTTCTTTTTGATTTTTACAGGGACTGAAAAGAGCTTGCCTTGAGTCTCAGAGGAGATTTTGGATTTGGACTTTTCAGCAATGCTAGAACTGTAAGACTGCTGATTCTTAGACATGAACTAAATGCATTTACATAGAGTTGTGCATGAGTCTTTTGAGGGCCAGGGGTGCACTATTATGGTTTATATCTAGTTGTTCTCCAAAGGCCTCATGTGCTTCTAGGTAGAACCTTTGGAATGTGACTGGATTTGGGTGCACTATATCTGACTTGCTGCTAGAAGGTGGGGTGTATTTGGAGGTGGGTTGGGGGGGCATGATCATGTAGAGTACATCTGTGTCCCCAGCTCTTTTTCTCTTTCTCTCCTTCCTGGCTGCTATGGGTTGAGTATCTTTTCCTCTGCCATGCCTTAGAGTTAGCTGACCATGGAATGAATTGTGAGCCAATAATAATTCACTCCTCCTTTAAGCTGTGGTTGTTGAGTATTTTGTCCTAGGGATGAGCAGGTGATGAAGACAGATGGCTAGACTCAAAAAATGAATTAATAGTAAGTTTTGGTAAAGATAAAGAAAAACTAGACACATCATACAGTAATAGTAGGAATGTAAAATGAAAAGCATGAAACTAGTAGTTCCTCAAATGATGAAACATAGAATTATTATATAATTCAGTAATTCCATTTCAAGAGAGATGAAAACGTGTACCTACACAAGAACATGAACAACATTATTCACACTATTAAAAAGAACCTATCAACTGATACATGAAACAATATAAAATTTTGCCAAATGTATCATTATAAAATAATATTACTTAATATGAATCACCATCTTCTATTTGTATTTTCTATTCTATATCTTACAGTCTGTAAGAGACAGGTTTCACTCCTAGGACATTTGCTTCACTTTAATGCTCATTTGTTAATTTAATCTGAGCTAAAATTAGAAGAGACGGTTAAATTTCTGCAATATGCAAAAGGAAAGCAAACAGGAATTGGATTTGTTCGGGATAAAAACTGCAAAAATATTAAAATGTCCTCAAGTGTTTATAAGTTTATAGCTCCTGTGAGCTTTGTTTTATGAATTTTAAAAAATTGTTCCTTCCAAATTATTTTGGAAATGTGCAAGATCGACATGCATATTAAGATTTCATTGATCCCATTTATAGTCTTCTCATTATTGAAATGAAAATTAAGTGAAACTGTATCAATGAGCCTTTGAGAAGCTAGAAATGAGGGTGAGACTAAACTGACAGTATTATTTTGACTGGCCAGACATTCTAATAGGAAAAAACATAGCAGCCAAGAAAATACCGTGGAAGAACAAATTTAACATCAATTTTGATCATGGTGTCATAAGACAGGCATGTGTTACAGAAAATTTATCAGAATACCACGGTCAGAAATATGGTAGACAGAATGGAAGAAGACATATTTCAACTGAAAGATAGTTTCCATTTCTCTATGCCTTTTCATAGGAATCCATGAATTCTTCTCATTCTTTCTATCACCTGTCGACAAATGTTTTTATAAACTTCTCTTTATATATCTGATGTCACCTTATAGAATGGTCTAGTTCACTGTTCCCAGACAGAATGGGCTATAAAGAGACTTAGACAATGAAATAGGCTATGCCTATGTCACTCTCCAGGAACGAGAGAGGCATACAGATGTGAAAAGATCATTCCAGGTGTGAGAAGGAACAGCGGCACAGCAAATGAGCAGTGTCTAAAGGAAATGAGAACACATAAGGAAGAAATATGCAGGAAAATATCAGAATGAATGGGGTCTGACAGCTGGTAGCAAAAAGAGTTCAAATTCAGAAGTACCTAGAGGCAGGCAATTGGGCAGAAGTCTGCCAGCAAGGAGTGTGGTTTCAAAAACCGTGGTGAGATTCTGGGGCAGGACTTAAAGAGAAAGGGACCAGGAATCATAATGGTTTTAGTCCCACAAGAAAGGGTGTTAGGCTAACTCACTGTCCATGAACCCCTAGTGAGCTTCAGAAGTCACATCGAGTTCAATCAGATCCTCGAGGTTCTACTACTTGTTACCAATTTATTCTAAGGAATTTAAGGACTTAGTTGTTTGGCAAACAGAATTTGGATTAAGTCTTTTACTCCAAATAAAAAGTAAAAGTTAAATCCCCCAGCTTGATTTATGGCCTTTAGTTCCTTAATCTTTCTAGCTCAGGTACTGGTGTTACAAACTTGTTAAGTACTCGGTTTACAGGAAGGAGGCAGGTGGCTCTAGCAAAGAAGTCCTGCGAGGCAGGAAGGGACCAACATATTCCACAGGCTTTGCTCTTTAACTTCTCATTATCTTTAGGGCATCAAGTAGAGTTTCCATTAGAAAATGAATCATGTCAAATATATTTTTAAATGTTGTCATCCTGTCTCTTCTCACTACTACCCTACTAAAGTAGCAACAAGGTATTTCATTCTATTATAAATGGATATTTTAAAGACTGACAGAGGAAGAATAGCTTAAATTACATATTTATTAATTATGCATTTATTAATCCTGTCTCCTCTCATGGAAACTGAGACATATTTTTATATCTATATTAGAAGATTACCTTGACTCTAGCTTACTTTTTATTTTATTTTATTTATTTATTTATTTATTTTTGGTACCAAGGATGGAACTCGGGTACTTGTGCTTGCGCAGCAGGTGGCGAAATCACTGAGCTAAATCCCTGGCCCCTTATTCTAGCTTACTTCTAATTATCATAGATGCCACCTTATAAAGATGCTTATCTATGTAATACTATACATCGAATTAGGGGATCGTTTGAAAAAATGTTATGAAAATGAAGTATGCTTATAAAGACCAGCCAACCCTTCTTCTCTGTAATGCATTTTACACTGAGAAAATCCGTAAGTTTTTACTCAGGAAAAGAAATGATTTCATAGGAATAGTCAGGCACGTCTTGCTTTGAAAGGACAGGGACATGGAACAAAGGGAGAAAGAGGGCTTAGATCTTCCCCATTCACCTAAAGGTTTGGTAAATGGATCACATTACTGGTGAGGTGTATTCATTCTTGTATAGGTAATACACATCATTTTTTAGTTTCAAAATTAACCCATTTATTCTTAGAGCAGTTTAAGCTTACCAAAAAAACTGAGCAGAAAATAAAGAGGGTTCACTGTGTAACCTCTCATCTTCCCCATTTCCTGAGCCCCTTACTTTTCCCCACAAACACAGCGTCCTCTACTATTAATATCTTGCATTTTTGTGGTAGATTTCTTACAGGTGATGAGTCAATACCAATACAAAATTATTAACTGAATTCATAGTTTATAGTAAGGCTTTTTTGTACTGTATATTCTATGGGTTTTGAGAAATTTATGACATTGACACTCTATTAAAGTATCATACAGAAGAAATCACTGTCCTAAAAATGACCTGTGCTCCAGCTACTCATCCCTGCACTCTGTTTTTATTTTTACAGATCATACTTTTCAACAGAAAATCACTGTTCAGTTTTTTTCATAGACTGTTTAGAGCCTACCTACTATTTTATAGGGAATTGAAAACTTACTGGCTCAACAAATTCAAACTTCTTTTTTTCTTGAACCTCTTGAATTTTAAAGACATATTCCAATGATGCTTCATAGAAGTTTTGATGTTCTCGGTCAATCTGTGTATCTGCCTAAGGAACGAGAAACAGGCAAAGCATGGAACAGGGAGTAATCACCAATGGTTCTATATAGAGACAGATTCAATTAACATATTAATTTAAAATTTTTATTGAAATGAATTCTGCAGGAAGATTTAATAAAGCAGTCATTACAGCCCTTATTCACAAGAGCTTACAGCACATGGAGTCAAGAAACATATAGACACAGAAGAAATGACAGGAGTCATTCTTATGAAAAAGTAAGGCTAAATATAGAGAAGAAAGCAGGGAAAGTGAAATTTGCATCACACTATGAGAGAGCTTGGACCCTGAACAAATCTGGTATCAAGTAAAGGAGAAGCATCTGGGAATATTAAGCAGAAGGGCTGCATCAATAAGTAAAATTTTGGAAAAATAATATGGTAGCAGAACAAAAAAAAATTCAATAGCTCTAACCTAATGAATCATGTTCCATCAATGTCAGGCACATTCATTCTTTCTGATTGCAATAAGGTTCTATTGATAAAGTGTGGGAGAGCATTACTGAGAAAATTTCATTTTTTTTCTGACTTTACTTCTCATCCCTCTTTTGTGCCCACTGCCACTCTCAGATACACTCTTGAAATGTGACTTTAGTTCAGCAGAGAGACACAGTTTACTTATCCAGTTTCACACTTCTAGCTGACAGCTGAGATTACTAAAAGTAGATGAAAAAAACAGGCTGTCTGGAGTATCAAAGTGTCCATTCACAATTAGAGAACAGAAAATTGAGTTGCAGACATTTAAAATAGTTATACCACAAAAGAAAAGCTTGACAAAATTAAGTTTCTTGGCATGGACATTGTCACACCATAAGATTTTATTTCAAGGGCCAGGGATTTAGCTCAGTGGTTCCGCCGCCTGCCTTGCAAGTGCAAGGATCCAAGTTCAATCCCCGGTACCAAAAAAAAAAAAAAAGATTTTATTTCAAGCTCCTTTAAAAATAATTATAGTATTATGCATTTATGCACATAGCGGTAATAATGAAAACCTTAATATTATCAGCAACTCACTTGGATTTTTAAAGTTGGTAATTCCAAGTTTTTAAACTAATCTATGTGAAAAATATATAAACCATATGGAAGATTTGAATAAAAGATTTCTGAGTTCTCAAAGATTGTTTAGAAAAGATCCAGGCACCAACTATAAAAATCAAAAGAAAATCCATATTCTAAATAAACCATATCCCTTTTTTATCATCACTTATGGGGGAAACACATTATATATAAGAAAAAAGTTAGCAATGAGAGATACATGGTGGTATAAATGTTTAACAATTGATTTTCTAGGGAGAAAAACCTGATTTGCAATTTTAGCTGGTTTCTGTGGTATAAATAGTCCCCAAATGACCACTTTCAAATCACAAACTCATTATCACTGAATGTAGGAGTTAGAAAGAGAAACAAAAATGGGCACTCCAGAGCAAGCTTCAGTACACTACAGATGAAAGAGATGCAAGAATATCTTTAGTTTCTAAGGCAACATTCTACTCCACAAGCTACTGTAAAGATTTTATTTACTTTAAAATGTGATGACATTAATTGTGCTGCCTAGTCTACTGGAAGTAGAACACTGCAACCCTTTTAAAGCCCACACTGGTTATTTCTAATCAACAGGTTATATAGAAAACAGTTAAATACAGCAGACCTGGACTGCTATCTTTTGAAAGGTCTCCTCACAAAGCTGGTCCTTGGCTGCTGTCCGGAAATGTGAATTGGGGAGCATTAGCTGATAAGAATGGCTCATGTGTCTAAACTGCACAAACAGTATGGTTTATGCCAAACACTTCCTGTCCTTTCAAGAGCGTGAAAGAGAGAGGTATCTTTGTGATAATCCTGCAATAAAACCCTGAGCAGTGCATTTCTCATGAACTTTCTTGGTAAAACAACATTTTACATGTGCTATCACTACTCACTGCTGGGGGAAGAAAGCATGTCCTATGTGTCTCCACTAAGAGAGGATTAAGAAGGTTTCCCCCAGACTCTGCTCCAAGCACCTTTACTTTTGCCTGTTTTTCTTTCCATCCCATCACTGTAATAAAATCATAGCCATGGATATGACTGTATCCTGCATCCTATGCGTTCTCCTAGATAATCATCGACCAGAGTGAGAATCTTGAGAACCATGACACGAATATGAAGTCACTTCTTCAGAAATGTATTTGCTATGAACATTACTATTCCACTGGCCCCCCAAAAAAGGGGCACAATGCAAAGAAAGAAGAGAAATGATGATTCTTGTCAATTGCCAGTTATAGATATTTTCGAGCACCTTCAACCTAGACAACTGAAATCTGATATAACAAAGCTGCTCTGATAGGTCATCCAGAGTGTACAGTGCTTAAGGAATAGGACAGCTTAGTTATTTTCAGTACTAGATCTATAAAGGTATTTTTATACTTGGAATGAATTGCTTAAGTATATAAGCAGACTGTGTGGTTCACTAGCGAACACTTGCTTATGAATCTAGTAACTACTGGTGCTATATATTTGGTACTGGATAAGTAGGTTAGCGATATGGTTTATCATTCAAACTGAGACAATTTTAAAACTAAAAGGGAACATTAGTAATAACTATGTCAGAACAACATGTATACACTGTTGTTCACGTGGCAAAAGTGACTGTAGATAAAAAAACCAAATTAATTTCACAGGAAAACCATATGGTTTTATAGCTACCTAAATTCCTCTAAGAAGGTACAATAAGCTACATTGACTCAAAATAGGGGGAAGCCACAGGTGATATGTGTTTAATCATTCCCAGAGGATAAAAAGTTCAAGATAGCCTGTAAAGGATAAGCCTGTAAAGAATTAGAATAGGTAGAGAGAAAAACGAGAAGAGTTTGAGTAAAAGAACAGAATCAGAAGTCAGAAGTTTTCTTTGGGTTGATCAAAAGATATGTGATTCAATGTTCAGTTTGGACCAATCAGACATGACAGTTCAGATAGAAAAGCTGACATAGGCTGCATCCTATAAATAGTGCAAACACTTGAGGGTGATGTTTACAGGGAGCCAAGCTGAAAGAAGATTAACACGAGGACAGTGGTGTATTCATTGATTAAATATGTGCATAGGAACATAAGATCTTTTATTTGGTAATGGTGAAGTGTCCAGTACACCCCCACAAGGTAGATTAAGATGTGAGTGTGAAAAGCAAGGAAAAAAGATAAAGAGAAATTTGACAAAAGAAATAATATTAGCATTAACAGACAGTAAAGGAAATGAGAAATAGGAGAAATAGTGATGTGTAAGATTTTACATGTGTCACCAAGAAATGAGAATCTAAAGCCTTGGTAACTGGGCATTGCAGAGTGGCCAGACATGACAAGATCATGCTCTGGGATCCACCTCAGACAATAAGGAAGGAGATTCTTCAGGAATATAAATGGCAGGGTAAGAACACAGGTCCCAAAACTGAGTCGAAGAGCAACACTTCATTAAAGTGGTGGAGATAAGAGGAACCTGTCAAAAGAGTATTTAGTGGCAGGTGGAACCTACGACACAGATTTCTAAAAGGAATCTATCTTCTATTTTACTTTTTCTTCTAACTATAAAAGCAATAAACATTCATTATGGTAAGTTTATTATTCATTACTATTGCACAAAAATGTGAAGATAAAAATTACCACACCATTGTTAATATTTTGATGTGCAACACACACAAAAATCTACTGTAAAACAAATCTGGGACATTATTGTATATTCTGGCTTAAAATTTATTTTATTTTTCCTTGCTTAATCTAACAATATTTCCCAATGTCTTTCAATGATTGCACAATCTTATGCATTTCTTTGGGGTAAATTTCTATCAATAGAAATAATCTCAACTAACCACTACAATTCCAGTTTGCTGAAATATGATGTCAAATTTACCTTGGGATGAAAGAATGGGTAAGGGAGAGTAGTTAAATGACTGAAACTGATCAAGATATGTTATGTGCATGTTCCAACTGGTCAAAATTAACATCACTATTCTATACTGCAAGCATTAGTAAAAAAATAAAAATTAAAAGTAAATATTTTTATGTTTTAATGAAGAGAACAAAAGTATACCTCATTTCTGATGCTTCCACTAATGATTATCTTTTAATGAATTAAAAATGACATCTTATTATTAGTTTACATTATTTCAAATGTGACATTGCGATATTTATTACAGTTTATAGTTTCTCTTTCATCAATTCTCTCTTGTATCCTTAGCCTATTTTTTTTACTGATTTGCAAATGTGTCTTATATATAAAAGATGGTAATCCTGTGTCATGTTGTGTAAATTCCCTAATGCTTTGGCATTTAATTTTGTTTAATATTTTTGAAATAGATAATTTTAATACATTCAGGTCTTCCTACATTTCTTTTGATTTCTTCAATTTATCCTAGAAAGGAATTATTCATTCATATGTCAAATATGATTTCTTTTCATCTACTATAAATCCTGCAATCTTGACAAGTTTGTTTCCAATTCTTCAACTGTTTACTCCAATGACCTGTCTAATTGATGGCTTTGAAACTTTGTCAACACAAGCTGACCTTTCAAGTCAGTTCTGAAAATGGCCAGCTGCTTATTTTCTACAAGCAAAATGAACAGGAAGTCACAGTGCAGGTTAAGAACACACAGAGGGATCTTTCTGAGAACAAGTTAATAAGCGTGGTGCTGACAGAAGAGCCAAAGTTGCTCTGGAAAGGAACAGATGACATTTAATGCCATGTTACAGAATTAAATGCTTTTGCGGCAGCATCTCCCTATGACAGGTTTAATTCTTGGAGAGAAAAGGGGGGAAAATCACCAAGTTATACTTTTCCCTGTCTACATTATGCCTCCCTAAGGAGCTGCTTTAACACAGCTTAGGTTGTGTTAAGGGCTGAACCTCCTGGCAAAGAAATGTGTACATGCTTGTACATTTGTGGAGTGAGATGGGGAAGAAGATATTACTAACTACGTTAGAGTCTTTTCTAGCCTCCAACTAAATACAGAACCAGAACAAATATTCTATTATACCATAGCCTAAGGAAGTTAAATACTGAGCTAAGATGTCAGGAAAAACTGTAACATATCCTCCAAAAGGCTTTAAAATTACAATAAAGTTACCCTTTCCTTGAGAGGGTAGAAGCATTGTCTTGTTTAAGGGTAGCCTCTCATATTTACCAAGAATCTAAAATTCTTTAGTGACTCTAAAAACAAGCCTTGATTTTGAGGCAATCAATTTTTTAAACGGCACCTGGCCATAGTCCTCAGCACGGCAGATGACTGTGTGCTGATGACAATTACGGCAGTCTCCTTCAACTTTCTCTCTAAAGTTTACTCTAGTACAACATGAGAAGTATGAGCATTTAAAACATTTTGAAGACATAACAGAATATTAAATTACAACAAGCAATACCATCTCCTCATGAAAGTAAATATGTCTAAGAAATTTAAAATAGAATCTAGTTTTTCTTAATGGCAGAATTGTCTTCCTTTTCACTTCAGTCACATGAGCTCTGCATAAGCATAGAATTGTACACAAAGCATTCATTGATAATGGAAGACATAGAGTACAATGAAGTCATGTATAAATATCCAGCAAAACCAATTTTCCCAGTATGAATCAGTTTTTTAAGTGAAGCAATAATGTCTTCAAAAACATGAGTATGCTGGAAAAAAAAGGAACCAAATGCCAAAATGATATTCCCAGTCCTTTTGACTATGGAAATTTTAACACTTTTGTTAAGCAGGAGTTGTGGCTAACCTGGAAGTATGGGAATTAAGAAAAGGAATAAGAACAGAAGACTAAGATGAATTTAAAAAGCACTTCAGAAAGGGAGGAAGCTTTGCTAGGATGAGGATCAGGATGATATATCTGATAGTGGTTCTTTGCTGTGATACCTAGAAGTAGAGCGAGAGGCCAACAGAGACACTCAAAAAGACTGGGAATGTTTCTAGATTCCCTATGAGGTTTGGATAGTGCACTGAGCTGTGGGTGAACTACCAAAATAACTCCCACACCCTACTCACTGTACTGCATGCTGGAAGAATTTCCTTTTGGTACTTTGTAGTTTTACTGCTTCTAAGATATCAATGGCAAGGGAGTCTTATTTTTTTGACTCACTCTATCCTTAAAACTGGAACTGCATTGTTCCTTTGTGGAAGGACATCTGTTGATTTACAAATTATACTTACAATGCTACCAATGGAAGGAATATAATATGTTTGAGACAAAGGGAAGTAAACTGCAAGATATATATTAGTAAAATATTCCTGCTCCTTTGTTCTTAAAGAAAATTGAAAGTAATTGAGATTTTTAAAAGCAAATACTTGTACATCTTTTTCTGTCCATCTGAAGCAAAACTTTAAAAGCAACGGCAGAGATTTTTAAAATTTTAACATAAAATGAACATGATAGGACTCCCTCTTTCAAATATGAAGAAGGGGGGGAGAAAAAAAATCTTGTTTCAACTCTTCTAATTGTTGAAGGAAACACTAATCTTTCACTTAGAATCACTAACATTAAGTGGAATAATGTATCCAATGCCCTGTCCATAGTAGGCTCAACCAAATTGGTTACTATTATTGTCATTTTATTAAAAAATAGGAAATTTTGACATTGTATGAGTTAATATTAATGCCTTCTCTACATTTCAATGAGAAAAGCTTACCTCTTGCAAATGAGATTCCTTTTTCTTTGCAGACAAATTCAAATGCTTGTCAAGAATAGAATAGTATTTTTCACTTTCCTTGTCAAATTTCTTCTTTCCATCCTAGGGGATAGCAATTACAATTAGAAAGATTCAAATCAGAGCATCGAGGAAGGCTTCATTTTCTCAATACTCTCCAAGAGCCCAATATAGTTATTTAATATAAAGTTGGTAAATTTCAAGTATGTGTAAAAGCTTAATTCAGTAAAGTGTTGTAGGTTGATTCAGATGGGTTAACATACAACCAGTTCAGAGAACCACTCGCATACACTATTTTCATGGAATCACATATTTCCCAGCCATGTTTTCAAATGACTAATTTTTGACAGAGAAAAACTGACTTTTAAATGCTAGCAGCCTCAAATAAATAAAAAAATTCAAAGTCAAATCAAAAGGTTTAACATCCGCATCATATATTGTGACTTTTGTTTATTTCTAAAACATCAAAGTTTTCTCTTTTAGGGGGTGGGAGGATGCCTATAAACAGGATGGCCTTTGTATGGAGTAAGAAAATAACTACTTTTTAGCTTAAGGTATACTTGCACAGAAGTGCAGATGTAAGGGAATAGGACATATGCCTGGGCATATAATCTTCAGAAGCTATAAATACTGTCCCACCAGGTCTTTTCTATTTATGCATCCATTTAAAATTACTAAGTAATTTGCATGCACAAATGTCACTGGTCAAAGAAATACTGGTCCCTCTTTTTATTTCAGTGTTTCTGAAATCGCAATCTCTGGATCACCTGAATCAGAGTCAAGTGTTTACGGCTTGTTAAAAAATGCACAGTCCTACTTCCCTTCACGCAAAGATTCTAGAACTATTTTTTAAGCTTCTAGGATTATTACTGATAATGCTTTTTCCATTACTTGCATAAATACCTAGAAAAGGTTACTTAAAAATAATAGATGGGTGGATGGATAGATGAAAGAAAGGAAGGAAGGGAAGGAGAGAGGAAGAAAGGAAGAAAAAAAGGAAGGAAAAATAGAGAGAAAGAGGAAAAGAGACAGGGAAAAGAGGATGAAATGAAAGGAGGTCAGATAAGGAAGGAGTAGAAGTAGAAGACCTCTAACTTAGGGAGTCTTTCCCACTACTGTAAGGCTGTCAGATCCAAGTTAATGCACCCAGGTAATGCTATTTTAATCCACTGGCATTCTGAACTTTCTTCTCAAATATACTTTCAGGATCACACAATGATCTATTTCCATATATGGAATTTTAGAAAGTGAGCTGATAAAATTGAGTTGAACAGGAGGGTTCTGCTTTACAAGTTCAAGTGAGTTTTAGACCATTTAAGAAGTAATGACAGGTTTGTACATTAAAATATTACATCTTAAAATAAATGGGGAAATATTACGTCTTAAAATAAATGAGGAAGGTACTTAAAAAGTACCTTCAAGGTACTGTTATTACCTATGGAGAAAGTATTGCCTTATTAAGAGAAACAAAACTGGAAAATAAAAATATCATTTCCATCCAAAAATGATTTTTTGAGGAATTTACAAAACAAAATATGGAAGAGCAGACTTAAAGCAGGCAGACCCACAGTTCAGAATGGTATGAGAATGATCTCCATGTTGTTAGAACAGACACTTAGGTGAACATTTCATCTTTTCCTCAGCTGCTCTTACTCTTTAATGTGACATTTCATGCCTATGACTAACGTGTCCAATCTACCTTTCCAAACACTACTTACTAGCTCCTTTTCAGCTCCCTATTCATGTTCCCTTCTGTTCTTCTTTTACTCCAGACTGTCCTGTCATAAATGCTCATTTCTTCCAATTTACACATATTTAAGTTATATCTACTTTTACCATCCAGCTCAAATAAGCCTCATTCATAAGTCCCATCTACCAGCACTCTCTCCTTTTTTTGGGGGGGGGGTACCAGGGATCGAACTCCAGTCCTTGTGCTTGCGCAGCAGGCGAAGAAACCACTGAGCTAAATCCCCGGCCCAGCACTCTCTCGTTTTAATGTTAACATGCCCATATAAATGAGTGTCTCTTTGTGTCACTGGTCTATGCTGTAACAGAGAGTTTATGTACATGCCCCATCCACCTTAAAACTGAACATCCAGTGAGTGACCAACAGATACTTAAGGAGTAGCAAAATTCTCTCTTATTTACACTTCTGGATACCATAGTCCCTCACAGAAATTCTATTTGTTCAATAAACTGTTACCCATGATGCAAGGGACAATTCTGCACAAATAGCCCAAACTTAGACCCAAAGACCTCAGTATAAGTGAGAAACCAGCTACATTTGAGTATAATACATAAAACTGACTCACTTCCATTTTACAATAGGGGCTTACAATTTTGCACTGGGCATAGAAGAGGAAGAGACTGGTTTCAAGAGACTAAAGCACAGCTGTGGTGATGACACTGTGTTTTTGTTTTCAGCTAGTGTTTGGTGACATTTTTGAAAATGGTAATTCAATGCCAACACATCAGCATTTCTGGCAATACAAGAATCATTCCTAGAACCACTTCCTGGATTCTTATTCAAATTTTGGCCCTTCACAGGCTAGAAAAAAAAATTTACTCAAAGGTTCCAGTGATGTAGACAACAAAAACACACTCAGTCCAAGCATAAAATAAAGAGCTGAGATTAAAAGACTAGACCACATAAAGGACAACTATAATCTAGGGAAGTATGTTCCAGAAAACAAAAAGGACTTTTCCCTGAAACTCACATCAGCCCTAAAAGCAATGATTTACTGCTCACATAAGCCAAGTCTTACGTGGATTTAGTAACACAACCTCACACAGCCCCCTCTTGTCTCTTGTGTACTTGTTATGGACAAGGAACCAAAATTTTCTCTAAAAGTAACGCTGGGGAAGGAAGGGAAAATAATCCATGGATGAATCTTTACTATATGCTGTGCATAATCACTGTCTTCTTATTACTATAGCAAGATTTTAATAAAAGCAAGACTACATGTTATCATGGTACGTTTTCCTGAGATTCACAGGAAGTATATTCAAATTACACAATCATTTAAAATAACATCCAAAAAAAATAATTTGAGAGAAAAAGAAAATAAACAAATGTAAGGGATAGCCTACAAGATAGATATATAAACATTCATAAGTATTGTATTAGCTAGTACTGCTTTTAGTATATTAGTTGCTGCCATTACATATATATACAGAGCTTCAAAGACAGAGACACAGAGGACAACTGCTGGGTAAAACAGATCAAAAGCACATAGTAAATTAGTTCCTAAGCTCAATTAGTCCCTAAGCCTGTACCAGCCAGAATAAGGTATGTTACACCTGAGTCTGTGATCAGTTGTTTTCCCCAAGTACAGCGCATTTGCCATGAGCACAGTGATGATGTGATCACTTAGCCATTGTGACTGTTCCCCATCTCCATTTTACACACTGAGTGAGGGGTGTGAGGAAACCATTGCAGAATAAACTCCAAGTGTCAATGTCACTAGTAGCATTGCTACTTAAAGCAGAAAATTTGTGTGAAATATTTTTAAAATTTTAGATGTTTATCACACACATCTATATATTAAAATGAACAATATTATTAAAGACAAGGCTACCCATGCTTTCTACTAACCACAAGAGGGTACTAAAGACGAAGAACAGACTCTACCACAACATTTAGATAATTCAAATAGAAATTCTCAAAATGTAAAATCATTTTTGTATAAAAGGCTATTACAAAGTTTTAAGTACTAGTACTAGCAACCTTTATTTTAATGTTATGTTTTTTTCTTTTGGTACCGGGGATCGAACTTGGGACCTTGTGTTTGCAAGGCAGGTGGCAGAACCACTGAGCTTAATCCCCAGCCTTAATGTTACGTTTTAAACAAATAAGTGAATAAATATTTTCTGTATTTCTTCATAGGATTGATTCATCATATATTTAATGTTTCAATGATATAAATGTCACTTGGGATACTGTGAAATTTCCCACGTAACTAATGGTGTCATCATGTTGGTATGAACATTAAATAAGCACTATTTATATATTTTAAAACTTCGATTTAATACACAACACTAGAAATAGTGATATGAAAAGTAATATATAACAATAGGTAAATTCCTATCTCAAAAACATGAGAATTCTTAATTGATCCTGTGCTGGGCACTAAAATACAGGAGCGAATAGGAAGTGATTCCAGTAACCACTTCTAAATGTACTTTTTTTTGTTTTGATGGTGGAATCCATTTGCTGCTTAAAATAGAAGCCCAGAGTGGCAGCAATACTTCTGATTCCCAGAAGGACCATCTCCTAAGATAGAGCAAACACACAATACAAGTTTACAAAGGCCCAAAGGATGATGCCACCCAAAGTCCAGCTGTGTAGTAGGCATAGCAATGTCTTTCATGGGGGCAATTCCACCCAACAATTAATTTCCAGTTTTTCCATCCCATCTGGCACCAATTCCCCTATCCATCATCTGCTGCAAAGCAGACATTCCAAAAGGGCTTTTTCCCCATGGTCATGCCATCAGAATTAACTACATCTCCCTCTTTCCTGATTACACCATCACAACCAGGTGATTAGATTCAGAGGTATCAAAGGACTGTATATATAGGGTAAGCCTACAAACCAGACAAAAGAACAAGCAAACAACATGTGTCAAAGATATGAAGAGACAACACACAGAACAGGAAACCTAAAGTGTAACACTCATATGAAGAGTTGCTCAAAACCATGAGTAATCAGGAAAAAGCAAACTAAATCAATGAGATATTCATATTATATCTAGTTGATGCTGACAAGAGTTAGAAAGTTGAGTGATGTCATGTGCTGTGTTCACATTAAAATAAAGAAACCTTGTGTTCTACTGGTGGGATTGTAGAAGGATGCAGCCCTTCTAGTAAGAAATGTTGCACTGCCATGCAGAAGATAGTGTGTCCTCATAACCAACTGCTGGGTGTACATGCTGAAAAGAATAGCAGAATGTTTTCTAAGGTTATGCTGAGATTTTGCTCACAAGTAAGTTCTTGTTAATTTACTCATGAATTTAAGCCTTTTAAAATGCCCATTTTATGACTGGTCCCAATGCTGTGGGCAGATCAAGAGCAGAAGAAGAGTA